CATGTTATCTTGTTTTTCACAGGCAACATCATCGAATATCATAATAGAGTTGGGTTTAGTCTCCTCAGGTTTAACCACTTCATCATGATCATTGAAAGGAAAATAGCCAATCACTTTCACTGTTTCCAATAACTTTTTCAAAAATTGATATTTTGGTTGATTTAGAGATTTCGAGTATACGTAAACATTTTCAAACCCCAAACCATTAGGGTGTGTAATAAGTGCAAACAGAGCGTTTGTCTTTCCACAATTCGAGGGTCCACATATGACTGCTCGTACACTATTGGGGAGGAGGGGACCGTGACGATTTTTTCGCTTATCTTTCTTTTTATCAGTAATTTTATCGAAATTCATCACAGGCAGCTTGGCACTTTGCTCCTTGAACTCCATCTTGACGACTGTCATCGAAGCCTATAAATACGCTGTATTTATGGACTTTCTATCAGTCTCTGGGAGAACATGGCTGCGTGCAAACATGCGAAAACTCGGAAGGGTAAAGGTGTGGTGAACGATCTCATTAATAAATTACCCATTGAACTGCACGTGCCTGGCTATCAGTACTGTGGACCTGGAACGAAGTTGGTGAAACGATTGGCACGTGGTGATCCTGGTATAAATCCTCTGGATGCCGCGTGTAAGGAACACGATATAGCTTATTCAAAGAACAGAGAGAACTTAACAGCTAGGCACGCAGCTGATAGAGCCCTCGCTGATAAAGCTTGGCGTCGAGTTCTAGCCAAAGACGCGAGTCTTGGTGAGAAGGCTGTGGCCTTCGGTGTGGGGAACATCATGAAGGCTAAGAATAAATTCGGCATGGGAGTGAGTCAGAAAACTACTGATGAGAAGAAGAGGAAGACGAAACCGAAGACTGGAAAGGGCTGTCGCAAAAAGAAGGTTGGAGAGGCTAGCAAGAAGAAGATATCATTGCGTCAGATTGTGCAAGCTGCCAAGGGGTCCATGCACCCAGGGTTCGATGTTGTGAAGAGTGCCTTGAAAGGTGCACGTGAGGCTGTGAAACATGCTGGAGGGAGAAAGAAAATGAAAGCTGTACCTCGGATTCTCCCTATTCCAGCAAAAATCGGTGGGATTCTTCCGGCATTCCTCATCCCACTTTTTGCAGGTCTCAGTGCCACTGGTGCTTTCGCGGGTGGTGCTGCTGGTATTGCCAAAGCAATCAACGCCTCCAAGCATGCTGCCACGGCACTTGCAGAGAGTCAGCGACATAATCGTACCATGGAAGCCATCGCCCTGGGCAAGGGGATGTATTTGAAACCCTATAAGTCGGGTTTAGGTTTACATTTGAATCCAAAAAACTAGTAAGACTACCGCACCGAGCTCTCACTGATAGCGATCTAGTGAAATATGCGAAAGCCATGAAAATTCCACATTTTCGTGGTGTTTATATGAGAAATGACATGCCTCGAGGTGGGCCATGGAAGTATGAATCGGCTATAGTAAATCTTGATGATAAAAGTGGACCAGGCACTCACTGGGTGGCGTATAAAAAGAAAGATCATGAAGTCTGCTACTTTGATAGCTACGGCAATTTACGTCCACCTCAAGATTTAATTGATTATCTCGGTGACGGTAGTATTGTGAAATATAACCCTAAAAATTATCAAGACTATAATACCATCATATGTGGACATTTATGCTTAAAATTTCTCTCTGGTGAATTGGTATAAAACAGCAGACAAGTTCATATATACATCAGTTTAGTGGTAACCACGATGAGTGACTCATTTACATTGACCTTGTCTGGCAGATCTTCTGTACTGGAGGCTTGGTATTTCCCACCCATCGAATTATCACCTCGGAAATCTTACAGTGTGGGACTTGTGCAATTTCTAACGTACAATTCAATTCCTAATATCGATGAAGGACGCAATAAATTTTATTTTCAAAAAGATGTAATGTCAGTACGGCTGACTATACCAACAGGGAGCTATGAAATCAGTGATCTTGAGAAATACTTGAAGAATGAATTATTAGCCTGGAGAATCCCCTTTAGTTTGAAGGCTGATGATCGGACTCTCACCACGGTAATTGAAGTGCCGAATGATATCATCATCAATTTTATGAAATCAGATTCGATTGGGCAACTCCTTGGTTTCCAAGGGGAGATTCTCGCCCATTCTACAATCTATCGAACTGCCAGACCTCCAGACATCATTCATGTAAATTCACTGCGGGTCGAGTGTAATCTGACTACAGGGGCCTACATTAATAGCCAACGTGCGCATACGATCCATGATTTCTTCTCAAGCATTCCAACAGGATATAAGATCATTGAATCGCCTGCTCAGGTCATTTACTTGCCGATCGTTGTGCAGTCAATAGATCACCTGCAATTAAAAATTGTGGACCAAGACGATCGTTTGGTGAATTTCCGTGAAGAAGTCATCACAGCGAGACTTCATATAAGAGCTGATTAAGAAAATGGGCATTGTCTTTGAGAAGAAGATCGGTGGCAGTTATAAAAGTGAGGACTCATGCCGGAAAGTGGACAGTCGTCGAGTGCCTTTCACGAAGCTGACATCGCAGAACATCAAGTTCCTGAAGAGTCTGGGTCTGAAACTTCGCAAAAAAGTGCTAAATTAAAGTTTTGCTGTGTCTTTTTTGCCTGCTGTTACTATCGTTCACCATGGAAGAAATGTTGAATATTCAAAAGCGAATCATCTTTGATGAGTCGATTTCTCATTATGAGATCCATGCTCATCAGCCATTCGCATCGTCATCCTTTAACAACAACGATGAAATCCGTATTTCTGTACAAAATCAAGATCTCTGTCTGTTGCCAAGCAAGAGTTCACTGCATATCTGCGGCCGTTTGACGAAAACAGATAATGCCGCTGTTGCTAACACAGAACTTGTCAACAATGCCATCTGTCATTTATTCGAAGAAATACGTTATGAATTGAATGCTGTGGAAATTGATAGATGCAAAAATGTTGGTCTTACAACATTAATGAAAAACTACATTTCTCAGAGCCCCAGTCAGGGCTTTCTCATGGAAAACGCAGGCTGGAGAATTGATAAAGAGAAGAAGATAACTGATGATGCAGGATATTTTGATGTATCCATTCCCCTCAGCATGATATTAGGATTTGCTGAAGATAACCAGAGAATTGTTGTGAATGCGGAGCATGAGTTGATACTGACACGTTCACACAATGATATCAATGCCGTCATTCAGGGAGCCCCTGCGGCTGGACAGCAGGCAAAGACGTTCAAAATTTCCCTCACCAAAATTGATTGGATGATTCCCTACATCAAACCTGCAGACTCTCAAAAAGTGCAACTTCTCAATCAGATTTCAAAGGACAACCTAGTGCCAATTAGTTTTCGAGCTTGGGAATGGTATGAGTATCCTCTCTTACCTAGGACATCGAAACATGTGTGGATCGTGAAAACCTCAACACAACTGGAGAAACCTCATTATGTCATTGTAGGCTTTCAAACAGCCTGTAAGAATCAACCCCTGAAAAATGCTAGCGAATTTGATCATTGTAACATTCGAGAGATCAAATTATTTTTGAATTCACAAAGCTATCCCTATGGAAATCTGAATCTTGACATTGCACACAACCAGTCTGCTCTTCTCTATGACATGTACACCAGCTTTCAAACATCGTATTACCATAAAGAGCCTGAGCCACTATTCAGCAGAGCGGAATTCTTGGAAACGGCACCTCTCATCGTCATCGATTGCTCCAAGCAGAATGAGTTCTTGAAATCTGGGCCTGTGGACATCCGGCTGGAGTTTGAGTCATCAGCCGACTTCCCCAACAATACAGCAGCCTACTGTTTAATCTTACACGATCGAATCATTGAGTATAGTTTACTCAGCGGTAGTGTGAAGAAACTTATTTAATAAAAAAAAATGTTTTTTGGAAAAGGAATGTAATTTTTTAATGAAATAAACAATAATTATTCTTGGAGACCAAATATCTTTTTATTTCTCATCGCCTGCATCATTATTATTATTAGTGCTACATTCTGCCTTTTTTGTTAAAGAATTGAACATTATGATAACACCAAGTTTTAATTCCTGTAGAATACCAAGCATTGGTATAGCTGGACTCTTCTCCCTCAGATCTGGCCCCCTCTTCCTCTTCAATCCGTTGCTCGTTGATGGCCCGTCATCATCATCAGCATTATCATAAGAAATTCTCCATCGATCTTGGACGAAATCGAGGTTCACTCTCACTACCATTTCTTCAATACACTCGAGAATCACATCCAATTTTTTT